AGTGCGCGGCGGACGCGCCTCATTTATAGTGGCCGGCGCGTTGGTTGTGCCGCTGTTTCGCGCTGCCCGATCCGCCTTTCCTTGACGCGGCCGGACGGGCGCGGGGGCAGGGGCGGGTGGGGCGGAGCAAAAGCAGAGCGGGGGTAGGGAAGGGATGGAGTCAGGTACGAGACGGGACTGATCGGGCATGATGGAGAACGGGACGGGCTGGGACGGAACGGGGCGTGACGGGGCGAGGCGGAGTTCGGAACGAGACGGAGACGGCGGCGGGGAATGGGCCCAGGACGGAGGCGGTGTTGGTTTGTCGGGTGTTGCTCAGGCGAGGGGCGGGGGCGGGGCGGGGAGGGGCGGGGCGGCGAGGTTCCTTTCGCGTTTCGCGAAGGCGCCCCCGCCGCATGCCGTCCGCTGCCCCGCCCCCGCCCTCGCCATCGCCCGCCGAGGGCTCGCCCAACTCCCCCGTCCCGCCCGGCACCGCCGTGCAGGATTAAACCGCCTCGGGGGGCCACCTGCGACGGAGATTAATCGCATGGAGTGATCGCTATTCACCCCTAATACCCTAAGCAAGAAAGACGAATAGTGATTGTTTTGTCTCTTTCCGTTTTTTCTTTTTATCTGTTACTTTGAACAGAGGAGCGCGTTTTTACTTCTTAAAGCCAAATAACTTTTTCTCTACCCCATTCGCACCATTGGGGGGATCGTGCGCATTATCAAAGGCAGGAAACGGTTTGTGTATAGTAATTTGTTCTTTGTTATTTAGGATTGAAGCTTCCATATTTAAACATGATTTGTTGATGCAAAGGTGCCGAGAGAGGGATACGAGCGTTTTATATTGATTGTTGTCCCCCAAACCCTAAACGTAGCTAGGAAGGGAGAAAGGCTGCCCGTATTGTCCGTCATCCGTTACGGTGTTTATTTCTCCCAGAGCATTTTCAGTCCATCATTCGCAACAAGGAAAGTGATATTCGGACGAATCCTCAGTCTTCTGTGTCATCTTCGTCTGCGGATTATTTCCAGACCACTTTAATTAAAAATAATTCCATAAGTAGATAATAGAACCTCCTATTATATATATATAATTTGCTGCAAAAGAGTGGTGATGTGAAAAATACTTGGTGAACTTGGTTTTCATTTATTTAGCAGCCAGGTTCAGTGCATAGAAAAATATCTGGACCAGACAATAAAAATGATTCAGTAAGTATTATTTACTGTGATTCAAAGACTTCGATTCGTTAGCTTAGACTGTGTGCGCAAGTCCACAATTAACGGGGGGAGGGGGAAATCTATTTCCCTAATCATTTCTGGTTGAAGTGTTGTGAACTTCCTTACTTTATTTTCACTAGTACTTTCCTGTACGTTATATTTACAAATTTGGTCCCAAAATTTCTACATGAGTTATAAACCCGTACATTTTTTTCCAATGGGCTTCACAAATAGGTTTTTTATTTTTTCATCAACAATACAAAAAATAATTTACAAAGTTTGTCATATAGAAATCGCCCTGCAAGGATAAAAGAAGACTGTTCCAAAACGAGTAAATAGAATAACGATAAAAGTGGAAATGACTATTAACAAGGAAACATAAAGGTTAAACAAACCAAAACCTACAAGAAATTCTTGTTAAAACCATACTTTTAATATCCCGTTTTTTTTTTTTTTCTCAAAAACTTTTAATAATTTCTACAGAATCTTTTGGAATATGATTGATGACAACGTACACAAAATTATTTATTCCACGGCCTTGCCTGAAGGAACTTTACGCGATCGATTAATTTTGCGCGGCTTTTGTTGGATCTGTTTGTCGTTGGTTTTGTAACGCCCACTTTCATGTTGCACTTGCGAGGTCGATGCCGCGGTTGTTTTGAGCCGAGTTGTCGAGGGGTAACAGTCGCAGCGGTTTCCTTCTTCTGCATTTCCCCTGACTGCGCGTCGGGGCGCCAGACGTCCCGACGCGGTTCACCGGCGCCTTTTCAAACGCTTCGTCTCTCGCCATTGCAAGGAAAGCGTCGAACTACAGAGAGTGATCGGATAACAGACACCAGCTCCGCTCGCGGGAAATGATGAGTTTTTAAGTAAATTGGTTTTCAATCGACTATTCGACTTTTCTAGGATTTTATTTGACATCTTGATAATTCGCTCTGAAGACCCCGAAATTGGGAGAATAACAATTTATTTTTGTAATTTGTATTTTATAATAGTGTTTTTATGGTATTTTATTTATTATTTATTTATTTATTTATTATTTATTTATTTATTTTATTCATTTATTATATTTATTTTTAATTTAATTTATTTATTTATTTATTTATTTTCATTTAATTTATTTTATTTATTTATTTATTGGATTTGTTAAAGGAAATAATCTCCAAAAAGTTTTAATAATTTTATTAACAATTTTCCATAGTTTCTTTTTCCATAGTTTGTCCACCCCCCCGTTTTGTTCAACTTATGTTTGTTTCATTTTCTCATTTGCCTAGATCCACTGAGGAATGGGAAAAAGTGGTGTTTCCCAAAGTTAACTATGGAAAAATGTTAATAAAATTATTTGTTAAAAAACTTTTAGTGGAGATTATTTCCCTTTACCAATACCTATGGATTACCACAAGATTAAAATCTGCTACCACCACGGAATTTATTTATTTATTAACATGACTGTGAAATACAAATAATATAATACAAGTATGTAATTTATTATTCCGCTGTAGGAATTAATCCCAGTTGCCGCGGGCCTGTTATCAATCATTTTTTTTACCAGAGCAACAGCTTTTTTTTTCAAGAGCCTCGTTTATAAAAGAAAAAGAATTGTATATGTAAATGAGTGTATATGTAAATTACAATAATATATTCCTATTGTCAATGCCTTTCTTTTTGCCTTTCAGTAATTTTTTTGAAATGAATTTGTCCATAGAAACAATCAAAATTTCCCGTGTAAACTACATCAAAATTACTATAAAAAAATTTAGCGCTTGGTTCTTGTTTGGTTCTGGTGATGTCTGGAGAATCCAATGATCGTTCTGTGATGTGCTGTGAGCCAAACCACTTTTTGTGAACACAGTTCTGTTATTTTTTCAGTTTGTTTCCCGTTCGAGGTGTTAATCAAAAACTGCTTTCGGCGCATAGGACTTGAATATGAGGACTGAACAATTTTCTCTGCGGCTATTTATCAGAGATAGAACATCGTTGGATTGGTTGCTGAAATGGTAGGAGAGAAGTGGGCCGAACATTGGGCCGTCCGTTATAAAATAAAAAGTATCGAAACAAAAAAATAACACTATTAATAACCATATTTGAAAACCGAAACTGAGATTTGGGTTGCTGAAATAAATTGTAAAAAACCTTGAGAGTGTTGTTCAACTTTCCTATTACGTCAATAAAAGAGGAAAGAAAAAAGCGTCTACCAAAAAAAGCAGGGACCAATGTTATTTGAACCGGACACCGGCCGAAATGAATAGTTTAAGTAGTATGTATGTGTGTGTCTGTGTGTGCGTTAGCATAAATTGTTAACCTTTAAAATAACTATATATTGATTGGTAGGTTAAACAGTGGATGTCTAAATAGTTAATGCTTTGTCACACACTTAAAAAAGATTTCTAGTCACCAAACCTCATGTTTCTGCAAATATTTACCTTGTAAGAATTTGAATTCTCCAGAAGAAAAGAAAATTGTAAATAATATAAAGGACAATACGTTACACGTAAACGAAAAATAGCTCTATGAATCATGGCCGGTTAACGAGGCCAAAAACGCCCTCTTTAGAGCGGGACGAAATGCAGGCCGGAATAGGCGGGGCGTTTAGCGCGCAGGTGCCCCCACTCCTTCCGGCTCACTTTGACCTCACATCGGGGGCGCGAGGGCGATGCACGGCGCCGAACGGTGCGGCGGAGATTCGGCGCGCGCCCCGCCCCACTTGGGTTCAAGAACCACTTGGCGTCGCGCGACCGCCAGCGCCTCCCTTCGCGCGGCGACAGGGCCCAAGGGGCGCTCGGCGCGGGCGGGCGGCGGCCAGCCACCTGCGACGGGCTGAAGCCCCGACACTGGCTTTCTCTTTGTTCTCCTCTCCTCCTCCTCCCTCTCCTCTCCTCTCCTCCTCCTCTCTTCCTCCTCTTCCTCCTCCTCCTCTCTTCTCTTCCTCCTCTTCCTCCTCCTCCTTCCTCTCCTCCTTCCTCCCCTCCTCCTTCTCTTCCTCCTCCTCTCCTCCTGTTTTCCTCTTCCTCCGCCCCATCCTCCTCCTTCTCTTCCTCCTCCCCTCCTCCTCCTTCTCTTCCTCCTCCTCCTTTCTCTTCCTCCTCCTTCCTCCTCCCTCCTCCTTCTCTCTCCTCCTCCTCCTTTCTCTTCTCCTCCTCCTCCTTCCTTCCTCCTCCTCCTCCTTCTCTCCTCCTCCTCCTCCTTCTCTTCCTCCTCCTCCTCCTTCTCTTCCTCCTCCTCCTCCTTCTCTTCCTCCTCCTCTCCTTCTCTTCCTCCTCCTCCTCCTTCTCTTCCTCCTCCTCCTCCTTCTCTTCCTCCTCCTCCTCCTTCTCTCCTCCTCCTCCTCCTTCTCTTCCTCCTCCTCCTCCTTCTCTTCTCCTCCTCCTCCTTCTCTTCCTCCTCCTTCTTTCCTCCTCTTACTCTTCCTCCTCCTGTCTCTTCCTCCTCCTTTCTCTTCCTTCTCCTTCTCTTCCTCCCTCC